CCTATAAATCGAGTCTAGAAAAATCCTTTGCAAAACAAGCATTTTCAACAAAGAAAAGCAAAGACAAAACAAGGGAGCAGTGTGCTGTGGTTAACATTGGTATTTACAAAGTATGTGTTGATATAGGAAAAATATCTGAGTCATTACTATGCTGAATTAAAAAAGTAGAATACAAAATATATATACAGAAAAACCCTATAATGTAGAAAAACAGACAAAAGTTTTTACACAAGAGAAAAAGAAATTATACAAAGTAATACCAGTGTTCAAGGTGGGTGATGGGACCATGGATTTTTTTTTTCTTTCCTCTTATTACCAGGTATATTCCAAACTGTATATAACTAACAATGAAAAGTGTACATAACAATGCTGTGAGATTTTTGCATACAGCAAATTTAAAGTCACTTTCTAGCGACGTCGTGGGTTTTCTGAGAGATTGTGTACATGAGTGCCGACCAGTGAAAGTCTGTCAGTGCTGTCCAGACTGCTTTTCATATTACAATTTACGACCACTCACTATTTAGTATCTTGACCAACTGCAAACTATGTCTCCCACCCTTGACCTGAGAAAATACCACCGGTGCCAAAACAAGCTGGGCAGCGGCACTTGGCTACAGTTCTTAGCACATTCACATACCTGCCTGGGAGGTTCTGGGATACCAATCCCATAACTACATGGGTCTCAGCACATCAGACAGGCCCAGTTTTTATTTCCTTTTTAATAAAAGGGAGAGGGCAATTGATACCTTCAAGTTAGACTTAGTCTGGTGAAATAGTTCCTAAATAAAACCTAGTATTTGCCTCAGCTTTTTACCCCTGCCCCTCCAACTATGATTTCTGGGAGTGAAATGCCTGCATTTGTCAAGCCCTTTCAGGAAGCTGACACCTTCCGCACATAAAAGCCATGCTTTGGCCTGAGCCCAGCCTCTTATTATCTTGCATGAGAACAGCAAACATCATCAGACATTTCCAAGTCGGTAAACTTCACTACAGCACTGAAGGGTGGGTATGCAAGAAAGCGAATGCAACAAGGAAAAAGGAGGGTTTTGTCCCCAGGCTTCTTTTTTGCAGCAACTACACTGGCTTCAGCTGGATAACAAATTGTCCTGGAATTCTTGGCGACAGAGCAAACATGTCAGCTCCCTGGTTACGCCTTCGTCACTGCTCAAAGCACCACACACTTTAACCTCCCTGCTCTTTCCATAGGCCTGGGCTTGTCCCGTATCCAGGAAACTTTATATGTTGTCTAAACTGAGCATCCCAGCAGGCTGCAGGGCAGATGGCAGCTCAGGATTCCGAATGTTGACCAATTCCTACCTGGACCCACACCACCAAGCTGAAACTCAGCCTGCCTGTGCAGAAATAGGAGCCAGCCTCGTGGCCGATGGCTTTTTTAACTGCTACTGTCAGCAATGAGGAGCCTTCTCCAGCAGACAAGATTCGGAAGGGAACTGAGAGGAAAGCAAAGTCAAGATTTATCTAAAGGGATACACAGGTTTGACCAAATATGCAAGCCAATAAGCACCCAAGGCTCAGCTAAGCCAGGAGCTAAAAAAGACCAGATGTTACTGACCTGCCCTCCAGTCCTTGGGACCTCAGGTCACTAGCCAAGGACATCATGTAGAGGAACTAGACCCCACTCCAGATCTGTTTCCATGTCACTAGATTCTCATTAGAGGCTTCTTACTTCAGTCAGGGAGCAAGCCAGCACTTGCCCAAAGTAGCAGCTGAACCACACCATTCAATGTAGAACATATGAAAAGAGTGAGGTCAGAGTGTAGAGTATGACACTTTGTCTAAAAATAAAAGGTTAGAGACAGGAATCCGTACATGCAGAAGCCATCTCCGCAAGGGAACACACCTGGCAGCGCTTATCTGGGGAGGGAGCAGCTGGAGGAGAAAGTGGGACACTTTACCGTGGTAGCTTTTGAATTTTCAACCACGTGAAAGCATAACCTTTCAAAGAACAAATAAAAATGTAAAATGCTATGTCATATTGTTATAAAAAGAAAAATGCCCTATAAATCTGTGTGAACATAAAAAGCTTTCTGTGAGTTACCCCCGGGGAATGGGAATAGGGGGAGGAGATGTTCATGTCTTGATATAATCATTATTGTTTTATTTACAAAGGCAGTATTTCTTTTGTGATTTTTACTTTAAAAAGAAAAAAGAGCCCGCCTGGCCTGGCTCAATGATTGCGCCGTTGACCCAGGAACCAGGAAATCATGGTTCAATTCCTAGTCGGGACACATTCCCCTCCTGGGCTTGATCCCCAGGAGGGGGCATGCATGAGGCAGCCAATCAATGGTTCTCTCTTATTATTGATGTTTCAATCTCTCTCCCTCTCCCTTCCTCTCTAAAATCAATAAAAATATGTTTTTTTTTAAAAAGAACTGCAACCTCACCCTGGCCAGGTAACTCCGTTGGTTAGAGCATCATTCCAATTCGCCAAGTCAGGGTTCGATCCCTGGTCAGGGCACATATAAGAATCAACCAAGGAAAGAGTGGAACAACAAATCAATGTTTCTCTCTTTCTCTCTCTCTCTCTCAAATCAATAAAAAAAATAAAAAAAACAAAAACACCCTGCAACCTCACCTCCAACAAGAATCTCCCTCAGCATTTGTTTCGTCTGTCTCACATGGCTCAATCACATCTTATCTTGCATTACAATTCCTCGTGTACAGATCTCATCTCCATTAAATGATGGAGCAACTGAGACTGCAGCCTGCCTACCACTCAAACTCCATGTTCCAGGGACAAACTCTGTGGAAAATAACCAGTAAGAACTAAAATAGCAGTCAAGATGGCAACAAAGCAATCACACAAGAGCAAATCGATCAACTAAAGAGTGAACAATAATCTCCTAAGTGTGTGAAACTTAGCGCAGGACTATTAGCAATGGGAAACCATGACCAAATCAAAACAATATGGAAAACAGAGTTTGTCCCAGAAATTGTGGGAATTCCAACAATGCATAGGTGCTAGTAACTTTGCAAAATTGTCGAGCAAAGTGTGACAGCCAGATTTCTCAGAAATCAGTGAATTCCTATCAGAGGACATGATCTTTGTTTAGAAAAACTGAAGTGACTTTGGAGTGTTGAGAGGCTCCTTCTAGGACATGGCCTGAAGGGATGAAGAACCTGAATTTTTCTGTAAAATCAAAGTGGCAAGTTTCAGGGAAAATGGGAGACTGTACTAGAAAAATGAATGTCATGTGAGGTAGTTCAGAGAGGACTCAATACCAGACAGGCAGTGCTAAGGAGAAGAGAGAGCCACTGGAAAATTGAGAAATTCTGGGAAGCAAGAGGCAATGGATATCTGTGCCTCAACTTCAAGCTAATTGTTTGCTTCTGAAACACATTACCACTCTGACAAGGTGTTTCTGGAGGAGGTAATCCAGAATGAAGTAAATGGGATAAAATGATCCCACAGGCCCCTAATTCTCAATAATGCTCTTTCCAAAACCCTCAACTTGAGGGCCAGATTTATTCTCCGTGAAACAACCAAAAGCAAGAAATGGACAACAACAGAAATGATACCAGATGGGACTATATGAAGGATAGTGAACTGTTAGAAAGGAAAGGCTGGTGTAGGTAGGGAGAAAAGCTCCACAGGACAGAGAGGGGATCAAGAGATGAACAAAAGTTAAAAACCAAAGCAAGAGGTGACTAGAAAAAATGATAATAATAAAGCCCCCAGAAAATCCACGAGATATGAGGACTGGGGTAGAATTGGATTTCTCTGGGTACAAGGGATGGAAAACTCTGTTTGGGGCTGATACCTGCATGTCCTCCTTAACTCCCCTTTCTCTTACTCTCCAGGTCCAATCTGTTAGCAAGTCTTATCAGTTACAGCTTCAAAATCCATTCAGAATCCAACCATTTCTCACCACCTCCACTGCTACCATGCAAGCCCGGGGGCCACGATCAGTTCTCACCTCGACTATAGCAAGAACCTCAACTTTCCTGTTTCCTTCTCACATGCCCCGCTCCCTGCCCTAGTCTATTCTCCACACAGTGGTCAGTCAGTCAGGGAAACATTTCTCACCTGACAGAACAGTGACTTGCTTATTGTCCGTCTCCCCTCAAAAAAAGGTAAGCTCCATGAAGGCAAGGGCTTCTATTTTTGGTCTCTGCTGTATTTCTAGAGACTAGCACAATGCCAAGTTATATGTAGTTGGTACCAAATTAATATTGTTAAATGAACTACATAAGTAGTTATGGAACTGTATACCATATGCGTCTAAGTGAATAAAGGAACCATATTTTGCATCAGTTTGTGGGCCTGCAAATCATATCTTACTGAATCTACAATGGTTTGTACACAATGCTCACTGAATGAATAAATAAAAGGAATATAGGTCTAATATGGTACCTAGGACTGGCCTGCACAGAATATGATTGGTATAGAGCAGAGTTCATAAATAATGTCAAGTCTAAAAGAAAATATACTATTTAACATGGACCTAGCAAATACTGTGCCAGCTACAAGAAATACAGAGATGACTAAGGTAATTTTAGAAACCTGTGTCTCTGCTAGTTTGTAAACAAGTACAAGTAACTCAGTGGTGTAATTGCTGTACTAGAGATATACACAAGGAACATTTGGGAGGCACTAAAAAATAAGTGATCATCCTTATCTGGGGAGGTCAAGGAAGGATTTATTTAAAAAATGTTACTTGAGCTGACAATTATAAGGAACCAGGGAGGGGAAGACAAACATTTCTGCCAGTCCAGGTTACTGAAGGACTTAAAACGTGGGCAGCACGGCATTGCCATTATTATCAGCACCGATAAGGGAAGAATGTGCCTTCGTAGCAGCAGCTCTGCCCAAAGCTTGCTGATGGCTACCAGCAGTCCACACCGTCTTCTTCCTTGTTGTGCAGTTAATGAGGCTTTGCCCTCGTAGCAAAGGGCTCAACTTGAAATTCATTTTGTGCAGAGAAGAGGAATCTGATATACTGACTGTTCCTCACTGAAGCCATGACTCAAATCCTATCTCAATAATTAACTATCTTTATTTTCTGACATAAAATAGAAAAGAAAAAAAAGGGGGGGGGGGGGAAGGGGCAAGAATGGGCAATAGAAATTACATAGTGCTGATATAAAGACTTTAAATTCTAGTCGAAGTTAAAACCCATTTTAAAGGTCAACTGATGGTCCAAAGGAAATAACTACATGGAGTCTGATCGAGATATATGTGAGTTGAGTCTCATTATTAGCCTCCATAATGCAAGATAACAAGTCTCAACAAAATTAGAGTCCACACTTGTTAGGTATGCTCTGTCGGGCATGGGTAGGTAAAGTCTGAAGAAATGTGTCCTCTCCATACCACTGTGACAAAGAAAGCTTTGATGGAAAAAGCAGCTCCTGTTCCCAGGTAGTGTCTGCAGCCCACAGTTGAGTTCAGCAATGGAATCGAGTGGAGAACTTGGGAGATACAGGCACTGTCAGAGGCTGGTCACTTGACTTGATCTCCACACCCTGGTATTTGCGTATTGGGTTTGCCTTGTGCACCTGCAAAGTAAGGAAAATAAAATCATCACTGATAATGATGGGGGGGGGGGGGGGGGGGGGGGGGCAGGGAGGCAACACAGTATAATGGAAAAGCAAATTAGCTTTGGAGCCCAAGTAGGTTTCTGTTCATGTCTTGCTACATCCCTCAGCTTACACTAAAGAATGTCAAGCCTACCTCCAGTTTGAGTGTTTATTGCTAGGATGTAATGGGGCAGTACTCAATTGTAGCAGAGAAGAGATACATGTTAAGATTAAGAATTGGCTAAAGTACAGCCTTAAGCTTACTGAGTCTTAATATTCGCCAAAAGCACAGACAAAAACAAACAAAAAACAGTAACTAGAAAGGATTGCTGAAAGAATGCCTGGTCCTGTTATCCTCTGGGCAGTCTACAACAATCATGTCAAACTCAAAGGCTAACACGGGCCAAATAAACAAGGTTTCAGTTTATTTGGGCCGCAAAAAAAAAAAAGCTTCAATTTTCATAGAAACGTAGGTTTATTTCGATAGAGACATGCTGAATACAAAGGGCTAAAATAAATGAGTAATTGTTGACATAAAATAGAACGTTTTAATAAAAATTAATATTTTTCCTTGAACATTAACTTACCAGACACTGAATAACTGCACAAATTAATAAGTGTAACGCAAATAACCTATTTTTCTTCTTCTCTGAAAGCGAAATATTTCCTGTTGCGCACACCAAACAAGTTAGTCCAAGACTAATGACATGGCAATCAGCTGCTCAAATATTTGCTGCTAGAATTAGTGGAGAGAAATGGAGTGCCTTCGCGTAAGGGAAATGAATGCAACACAATTATAGTTATCAGTCATTAGCGAACGTTGTAGTTCGTTATTAATAATTATGTGTAACAGGATATTGTAAAAATTAAGTTACGAAATTTTTATTAAAATGTTTCTTATATACCGTTATAATGGCTGGGCCGCAAAAATATTCGTTGTGGACCGAGAGTTTAACATGGTTGGTCTACAATCAATCCTACATCAAGCCAGATAAATAGAGAGCTAACTAGCACTGACAGAACTGTGCTATCAGCCTACACCGAGACTCGCTGTAAGAAACAGTTCCATGATGGGGACAAACATAAGCAGCAGGAACCAAGTGTTGAAGAAAAATCAAAGAGCCTGAGGATAGAAAAAAGGTTGGTTTTGTGAGTGTATCTGGAGTGGGGAATGTATTGTTTTTTCATTCAATCAGAAAATGGTAGCTTGAATTTTGCTGAGAAGCTAGTCCCTTTAATAGTTTGTGCTTAGTCCCTTCCTGCAGCCACAGTCACCTCTGCCAACTGCTGTATCAGCTGTTGGCTTAGCACTTTTAGACAAAACCTCAACAATTTAAGTATTTCCATAGTCATTTTTATTAATCGTATGAAGCTTCACCTAAAACTGTCTTCTTCCTCACTGATGCAGTTAATGTGGCTTGCTGCCCTCCTAGTGAAAGGGTCCTAAATGTGAATTAAGCTTTCTTTTTGGGTAACTAATATTTAAATCATTATGCTAGTGTTAGCACAGAGGTTCATAAGGAATTTGAGTCAAGTATTAAGAGGAAAATGAAAATAGAGTTATTGCCCAATTCTCAAGTCTTTCCTTAATTATGTATTCTTGTCTAATTGTAAAATACATTGGTTCTCTTAAGCCTTAAATAATAAAAATAAGCTAATGATCACTGTGAACAGTTATACCATGATTTCCTCCTTATGAAGACCCCTGGAAGAATCTGAGTGCAATACTAAGGATAAATGTATTGTTTAACAAGTAGCTTGCTTTTATCGCATGAACATTGTGAGTTATGTAACTGACAGGTTGGTTCCTAAAAGGGGCCAAAATTATGACTCAAATTGGCAGATACATGGATCACAATGTACAGATCTTAAGCCTCATTCACATCTCCACTTTGTCATCACCCTTGATTTGTGTCGTTTCCCGCTTCCCCTGTCTTTGATGTGTCCTTGCAGCCACCTTAGGTTCTTTCTGAAACAAGACAAGGTACAGAGAAAACAAAGCAGAGACAATCATGGGTTATGAATTCTGCTGCCCAGTTACCAGTTCTTTCCGTAGCCTGGCCAGCTCCTCCTTCTGCTGCTCTTCCTCCTGCTGCCTGACTTCCTCCAACTTCTGGACTCTCTGGGCTTCTGCCTCAGCCATTTTCTTCTCCATCTCTTGCCGCTCTTTGGCTCTCTTCTCAGTGGCCAGCTGAAAAGGTTCTTGAACTAGTGAAAGGCTATCTGAGTACAGAAACAGAGAGAATATTGGTACACAAGCAGGACTTGCATAAACCTGGCCCCCATAGAGCCAGCAAGAGGCACAGACATGCATGTCAATAGAACGGCTAAGCACTAAGGAAGCCTTACTGAAAGTTGGAGTCTTAGAAGTTTAAAACATGGAAGGGCCCCTGCAAATCAACTAATTAGGAGAAAAGCAAGACCCACATAGATGAAGTAGCTTGCTTAAAACCACATTGTGACTTTAAGACAGATAGATGTAGAAGAATTCCAATTATCTGACAACCTACCCCGTGCTTAAGGAAGCAAATGTTCTGTAATTAAGGCTTGCTTCAGGGTGAACTCCAGAAAGAGGTCCTGGCTATCCCTCCCTCACTTCCTGGTACTCTTTAGGTGGGCAAAGCCTATAACTATTACTGAAATGCCAGCTGCCTCTGCCCAGGATCTTGCTCTATGAATCTGGCCCCAACATATTCTGAAACTCAACATAGCTGCTGGGTTCAACAAAGGCAAAAGTCTGGGTCAAGGAGAGAAAAAACTAGATCCTCTACAGACAAATGCTTCTGGTTGCCACAGCATTATACGGACACAACTGAGTCCCAGGCAATCCCCCTGGGAAGTCTGACAATGTTGCCCCAATCCCCCAAGAATACATATACTACTACCAGTCATGGATTTTTTCTCTTTCTTGGGAACAAAGGGCTCCTGGAAGATGACAGTATTTGGACGAGCTTTGAAGCAAGTTGCTTCTTTCTGCTGTTTCAGTTCTTCTTCCAGCTATTAGAAAGAAAGCCTGTCAGATAACATGCCATGACTACCACCTCCATGACTCAAGTACTAGTGTTTCTAACTGTTTCATCAATAAAGACAGCAAATGTTTTCATCTAAACCCCAATTAAAACCCCCTTTACAATGAGTAGATCAGAATGACAACATCTAAACCCACTGAGAATTAGAAAGTATCTTTATGATACATTTGACCCTCGAAAAATATGGAGAGTAGGGCACCAACACTCCACACAGTTGAAAACCTCATATAACTTTTGACTCCTCCCAAATGTACTTACTATAATAGCCTACTCTTGACTGAAAAAACCTTACCAATAACACAAATAGTAAATTAACACATATTTTGTATGTTATATATATTAAATACTGTATTCTTACAATAAATTAAGCTAGAGAAAATGTTATTAAGAAAATAAGGAAGAGAAAATACATTCACAGTACTTATTGACAAAATCCATGCATAAAAGGACCTGTGCAGTTCAAACTAGTGTTGTTCAAGGATCAATTGTAATTTTAACACCATATCTTAACACCTACCCCCAAAACAGACATTATATACCCCAAGATGTGATCATCTATAAAGTATTCTCCCTCCCAAGCCCCCTCAAAAAAAACCAAAACCTAACCAGAGTTTAATCAAGTCTCTTAATGTAACTAACTCATCAACAGGAAACATAGGAGACAGAGGAACATATTAAGCAACACCACAGAATGCAATGACCAGAATCCAGATTATGGAAAACCAATAAGACAAACAATCCAGTTTATTCAACAAATAAAATGCAAGTAGAGAAGCCTATAGATTAAAAGGGATTTGGATTTATTAAACAACTGTAATATGTGGACCTTATTTGAATCTTGATTTGAGCGATTCTACTGCTTGAAAAAAATTATGAGAGATTTGGGGGTATATAAGTGCTGACTATCTGTCATTATTAAGGAATTACTGTTAATGTTTTACTATTATAATAATTTTGTGATTATATTTTTTTAATCCTTATATTTTAAAGTTACACACTGAAGTATTTTGGACGAAATGAGATGAGATGGGCCCTAACCAGTTTGGCTCAGTGGATAGAGCGTCGGCCTGCAGACTGAAAGGCCCCAGGTTCAATTCTGGTCAAGGGCATGTACCTTGGTTTCAGGCACATCCCCAGTAGGGAGTGTGCAGGAGGCAGCTGAATCAATCTTTCTCTCTCATCAATGTTTCTAACTCTCTATCCCTCTCCCTTCCTCTCTGTAAAAAAGCAATAGAATATATTTTTTTTAAAAAGAAATAAGATGAGATGAGGATTTGCTTCAAAGTAATCCTGTGTAGGTAGCAGTATCCAGTGTAGAGATAAGTAGATAGAAGCATAGATAAAGTAAGATTTTCTATGTTTTGATCACTATAGCACCAGGTTACAGGTTAATGCAAGTTCATTATACTATTCTACTATGTATATGTCTGAAAAACTTGAAAAAAAATATCACAGACATTCTATGTCACGGACCTTGAAAGAGAGATTCACTAGTACTTTCAAAGCAACAGTCTCAAGTTTTCCTAGACTATAACAACAAGAACAAGAGGCCTACGCTCACTCAGTCAGGTTAGCAGTCACATTTCCTGGGTTTCAAGAAGGGTGACTTCCTATAAAAAATTAGTCCAGAGCTCCTTTTGGACAGAGTGTAAGATAAGTGACAATATAAAAATACCAACAAACTTAGGGATTCAGGAAAAAATTTTCTCCAGATAGCCAGCTTACAACCTCTTTGAGCTAAGAATGGTTTTTACAATTTTAAAGAATACACACACACACACACACACACACACACACACACTATATGACAAATATGACAGATCGTATACAGCCTACAAAACCTAAAATATGTACTTACAATCTTTTTTTTTTTTTTTAATAGAAAAAGTTTGCTGACCCGATTTAGAGCAGAGACTCTGAAATAATCCAGTGTGTTAGTTCTGAGATGAATTTCAATGTAGTGGGCCTACCCATTCTAACAAACCAACAAACAACCATTTACATATTAGCTGCTGTCCCAACCCCTCACCTGGTGCTTCCAAGTCTGTGCCTTTAAAGCACCTCTTTTGTCAGTCTCCAAGCAGAAAGGCTCAGTCTGGGTTACACTCTTCACCTTCTTCTCTGGCAGGTTAACAGTGTCAAAATCAGGCAAAAGATGTGCCTTGAACTTGGGCACCTGATATAAAAGAAAACATAAGATTTAAGATAAGGCCTTTCTAGCCAGAAAGCAATAGCTACGCCAGAATATTTGGATGAATCTAAATCTAAAAAAGAGAAAAGGGCCCTAGCTGGTTTGGCTCAGCGGACAGAGCGTCAGCCTGTGGACTGAAGAGTCCCGGGTTCAATTCTGGTCAAGAGCACATGCCCAGGTTGCGGGCTTGATCTCCAGTAGGGGGTGTGCAGGAGGCAGCTAATCAATGATTCTCTCTCATCATTGACGTTTCTCTCTCTCTCTCTCCTTCTTCCTGAAATCAATAAAAACATATTAAAAAAAATAAAGAGTAATGGGCTTAAAAGGAACCCAGGTTTTCCTCCCAATACTGGTATTGCCTGCAATGGCAACATAATCATGGGCAAGTCACTTAACACCCTTGAGCCAGAAAGCTTATTAAAATTACTTGCCCTTTTTATACTTCATAAGGTTGTCATGAAGAGATCAAAGGAAGTCAGTGATTTTTATAAAAATGCAACATAAAAGATTATCTTTGAGGGATCAAAGAATAGTGTTAAGCTACTTACAGAAATGAAAACACCTACCTCCATTTTCTGCAGTTCTTTTATTTTCTTCTCCTTCTGTAACTGGCGTTCTTTGTCTCGAGAATCAAATGAGAAAGGGCATATTTCCACAGTCTTTGCCTCTGGGATTTGGGGCTTAAAAGGTACCCCCAAATGTGCCCGAGGTTGAGCTCTTCTTATCACTACCGGCTCCTCTTCCTACAAGAAAAAACGCAGTTTAAAAACAAGACTGCTCACTCTTACCTCCTCAGAATGGAGAGTCGGAAGACATTATATGACAGAAGTCATTAATTAAGGCAAGTCACCCCACCTCTTAGGTGTCTTAGTTTCCTGTGTAGCAAAGTTACCTACCAACTCACTGGGGTGAGACCAGTGTGAAAGTATTTGATAAAGGTCTAACACAATTACTCTTAAAGATGTAAAGTCTTTCACAGGAAGGCTGTAAAAACTAATGAGATCAATCAGTGTGAATAAAATGAAGAACAGAAGATACACACACCTTGGCCTCCTCTTTGACCCACCCTCCATCTAGACTCCACTAAAACATGTGACTGGGAGTTAATGAGTCGTCAAACCCGGAATAGGACCAAGTAAGTTGTTTGGGTTCAAACTGGTAACATATTACTGTGTATTTTAGTTTCAAATGAACTCACATAAAATGGCTTATGCTTAAGATCTGCTATGAACTTACCCCAGCTCTGGATATCTACATATATAAAAGGCTAATATGAAAAGCGTCCCCTCAGGAGTTCGACCGGGAGACCAGGAGTTTAATCGCTCACTATGGCGTGCGCTGACCACCAGAGGGCTGCGTGGAACGAAGAAAGGCCCCAGCCAGCAGCCGGAAGGCCCCGAATGGCCTTGATCGCCAGGCCAGACCTAGGGACCCTACCCATGCCTCTAATAAAACTAGAGGCCCTGTGCACAAGATTTGTGCACTGGAAGGGGGTTGGGGGGAAGAGGGTGTCCCTCAGCCCGGCCTGCGCCCTCTCGTAGTCCAGGACCCCTCGGGGGATGTCCGCCTGCCAGCTTAAGCCGGAAGTCAGACATCCTTCTCTCAGTCCGGGGCTCTTGAAGTCTGGGACCCCTTGCTCCTTACCGCCCGCCTGCAGCAGAGGCGGGAGAGGCTCCCACCACTGCCACTGCACTCACCAGCCGTGAGCCTGGCTTCTGGCTAAGTGGCGCGCCCCCTGTGGGGGCACACTGACCACCAGAGGGCAGTTCCTGCGTTGAGACTCTGCCCCCTGGTGGTCAGTGCATGTCAAAGCAACCGGTTGTTCAGCCATTTGGTCAATTTGCATATTAGGCTTTTATTATATAGGATGAAGATGTAACAGGAAACTAGCCTGATCAATGACAGTTTATGTATTCCAGTTTCATGATCCATCATCACACAGTCACCTTTGCAACCCTTGGATTAATGGAGATAGGACAGGGTGAATGTTAACAGCCTGGTGTTTCTCTTCTTTTCTATACCCTAATCCCTAGGCCTGGTGTGAATTTTAAAGTCCCTCAGTGCCCTGACAGGGTAACGCAGTAGGTTAGAGTGTCGGTCCCAATACACCAAGGTTGCAGGTTCACTCTCCGGTCAGGGCACATACAAAAAGCAACCAATGAATGCATAAATAAGTGGAACAATCAATCTCTCTCTCTAAAAATAAATAAATAAATAAATTTTTAAAAAGTCCCTCAGTGAATGGTGACAACAACTCAGGCAAAATAGAGGACAGGGATCAGCAACTTTTAATCCATGTTACAATGGTAGGCTAATTGTCAATGTTATACAAACGGACAGGCCTCCAATAAGTTGCAAAGAATTACCACTGCAAGCCAGAAGATTCACACCAATTACTTTGCTCTTGGAGGAGCAAAAGAGATGATCAAATGTTTATTCCCACTGTTGAAGACAACTCCGGACAAGAGTGACTGCCTTTGAGTTCCATTAAGCTTTAAGAAAGAGTAATGCTTAGATTGATGATGCAGAAGGAAGAAGAAATCCCCATCCCAGGGAATCACCTCATCGTTGATGGGCATTCGGATTCTGTTCTTTAATGCAAATGCCGGTGATTTGGGGACAGTGATTGGAAGTAGTTTCTTTTCAGGAACACCCTGGAAGGAATAAACAACTCCATTAGACATCCCAGGACAATCTCCACTAGTTAAGATTAAATCCTTGTATTAAAGGGAAATTCACAAAACCAGGAATAAAAAAAAAGCTAGTGTTTCAGTATGTCGTTATTTATGCAACTAAGACAAAGGATCTGCAGTAGCACTCCAAAGGTGGAATGTCACAATAGAAGAGAGGCAATAAGGACATAGTTTGAGTTGTATATTCAGTAAAAACAGAATTCATCAAAATCTTACTTTTGAATTTATGAAAAATACTACTGACAACAGAAAACAAACTAATGCCAATGTTTTGATGTTTCTCTTCCTTTCTATACCCCAATCCCTCAAAAACAAAATTTTTTAAAATGTTCATTTTATAAGCACTTATACTCTATCACAAATCTGGCAATTAATACTAACTACAAAATGTTAGCTCTTGGGCTGTTGTTTTGAATGAAATGTATAACCAGATCAATTAAAAAAAAATCCTCTCTCACATGCTAATGTTGCCCATCAGCTCTCTACTCTGCCTCCTCTCTAAACTCTTCACTGCCTTACCACAGGCCACATCATCAATTGCCTATACCATTCACCAGCCTTCTAAAAGGCTTTTCAGCTCATCTCATTCCTCCAATCCATCCTCTGTATATAGTCAGAATTATTTTTCAAAACACATCTGATATATTACTTCCTGACTTAAAATTCTTTAATGGCTCCCTCTTACTGTTTAGCTACAACAGTGTAACAAATGCCCTGGCATGAAGTACAAGGTGCTTTATAATCTGATACCCTGTCTGACTCTCCAGTCTTATCTCTTGACCCTCCTACACATGAATGAACTACTGGCAACTGCCAAAATTAACACTGGTTCTCAACTCAGTGTCTTTCCTTGTGCACTCTCTCTCAGCTGCTTTGAAGTACTTAACCCTTCTTTTCAAACCTCCACAGAAGCATCTCTTCTTCATTAAGCCTTTCAAGATCCTCAAACTCCCAGAACCTACAGAACTGACACACTCTCTCCCTGTGTAGACTTCTATCACAGTACATACAGAACTTCATTGCACTTGTTTATTTAGATGTTCATCTGCTTGTGTGAGCCTATGAGTGCTCCATGAGTGGGGACTTGCATTTCATCAATCCCTAACCTTGGCAAGTATAAAGCCAAACATTCAGCAAATGTTTGTTGAATGAATATAGTAAGAATAACAGAATTTATACATTGGACTCAAATTTACATCTTGAGAGACTTCTCCTTAATTCCAACAATGCTGCAACTGCTCAAAACATCTTTGGAATATCTTTCCTGAGTGGCTTTCAAAGCCAATTTTGGGACCAAGCAAGGTAGAACTCAATCTTTATTTTTAATTAAACAAAACTGCTTCCAGACCTATTATCTTGGACTACTCTGAAGTTCTAGTTCCAAATGACTTTACACCAGCTTCTAAAAGCAAATTAATCTTTGAAATATGAAGATTTGCCATCCCTGAAGAGATCCAAAAGACTGTGCCACAGGATCTAAGACAAGTGGCTTTTCCAAAATGTTTTGCACAATATCAATCATTGGAAAAAATGTATACCCTCCTATGGTGACCACGACAAGGGGAATGCTCATTCTGATGTGAAAGTTCTTATGTTTCCTAAATAAAGCCAAGATATCCAGCACAGTGAAATCCAATGTATCTGAGTGACAAAAGTCCATGAAATGGGATTTTCAAATAATGCTTACCATAAACAACAAAATCTGTTGTTGTACAACATCCTAGACATGTGAACACCAGCCTCTTGCCTAAACACACTTATGACATGTGGGAATAAGAACACTGAACAAGGAGCCAGAAATCTGTTTTCACCCAACTCTGATTCCAACTGCTGTAACCTTAGGTGCATCACATAGCCTTCAGACCTCAGATTATTTGTTTTCTTTTCATTAAACAAAGTATTGGAAATAAATATCTGAGGACTTATTTCATTCTAAAATAATGTCTCTTTTCCTATTTCCCCCCTCTCTCTAAATCCACCCACCAGAGAGACATGCATTGTAAAAGAAAAGCAATGGAAACCTCTAACAAGTCAGCCATGAAAGAGATGTTCACCAATGGGATCAATCCTCATAATTAGTTGGGAGAGAGGGAAAGGGGATTTATGAAAATCAACTTTGCAGCAACCATCTACCCACAACCCATTCTTCACTGCAATCAAAGCCAACTGGGGGCTCAATCAGAAATAAAGAAAACTGGGTTTTTAGAAACAAAGGCTTCTTGTTTTGCCATTTTAAGTTTTTTTAGTTATAAATTCCTTAAGGGCAGGGAGGTCGCCAATTGCATTCTCCAAGGAACCTACAGAAGTAATTGTTCAATGAACACAAGGTTGATTAATTTGTTTATATGTCAATCTGCTCTACCAGCCAGACTGAAAGCTTTCAGGACCAGGGCTGTTTCACATTCCATCTCTGAATTCCCAGTGTCTACCACACTAGAAACACAGGCTGGAGCACTTCAGCTTGTACTGCCACTCACTCAGTTATCCACATTGGAGTGCCTATGCTATGATGCTAGGTTCTAGGGATACAGAAGTGAACAGTACAGATATTCACGGCCCCTACTCTCAGGGAACTCACATTCTAGTGGAAGAAAGAGAATGAAAAAGTAATAAATCAATTATTTCCAGGTTTTCACATGTGCTATAAAGAAACCTAGCAGGAATGCAGCTAAAGTATAATGGGGGTAAGCCATGTCTCTGTAAGGCAGGATATACCCCCCTAAGACAAGATCTCAGGCCTGTCCCAGAGCAGTTAGGAAATTACTGTGAAGCAATGTTATTTCAGAAATAAGAGGGGGTAGGGGTGAAATTGTGCTGGTCTCCCCAAGTCATCCCTAAAATATCACTGCTAAAATTACTCACTGGCCTCACTGACACCATATCCACCTCTGTGGTGCCCCAGCTCTCCCACTAGATGTCGGCACCAAGTTCACATTTCACACCCTGGAGCTCAAGGCTTTCATCACTCCACCTCTCTCCCAAGAGCCGTTATTTCATCTCTGCCTCATGGCCCACTGCTGCCCAAGCCCGCTGTCTCCTTGCCACCTATCAACCACAGGCGGGAGCACCTGAGAAACACCATAAGGAAACAGAGATGCAGCTTAAGCACCCAGAGGACATGAATGGGGAACAATGGTGGCAGACAGACAAGATGCATTTGGGCTCTGGAAGGCAGGCTCTTCTGTGCTATTATGAAAGTCCAAGACTAGAATTAAGAGACCTAATCTCAGTTCTGCTAACAACTTCCAAAAATGGGCAAGCCACATTCCTCTTCCAGAGCTGCCCTTTCTAAAAAGCAAAGAAGAGTGAAAGAGAATACATCTAACGTCTCCTATGCTTTGCTTCTCTAGAAACCATCAGTTAAAGTGAAATCACTGGAAATTTAGAGAGCTGAAAACAGCTAGCATCAAACTCAAAAACTGTGTTTGCCAAAATTAACAATGATAACAGCATTGTGGGGTAGGATGACAGTGCTTAAGAAGATGACAGTTCAGTCCAGCCGGTGTGGCTCAGTTGACCTATGAACCAGGAGGTCACAGTTCAATTCCTGGTAAAGGCACATGCCCAGGTTGTGGGCTCGATCCCCAATAGGGGGTGTGCAGGAGGCAGCCAATCAATGATTCTCTCTCATCATTGATGTTTCTATCTCTCTCTCCCTCTTGCTTCCTCTCTGAAATCAATAAATATATATATATTTTAAAAATATGACAGTTCAAATCCTGGTTCTGCATACTAGACACCTCTTAGTGTCTCTTTCCTCACCTAAAAAATGGAACCTACCTCTTAAAGAGTTATGAGAAATAAGATAATCGACATAAAACACTCAGGAAAAAAACACTCAGTACAATGTATGCATGCAATAAAACAGTTATTACTATTAGCAATGTGACTGCTTTAGTGTGTCAGACACTAAAGTCTTCACTGGGCTCTAATCTTTGCTGCACCTAACAAATAAAAAGCTCCAGGGGTGGGGCCCAGGAATCTGTTTACGTAATAAGATCCCCAGAGGATTCTGAGAACTAGCTGGATTTGGCAAACACTTTCCTGCAGCATAGCACTTCAATTCAGTTGCATACTTGCTTAACCTAGTGCTTTGCTGATTTGTTTATCCAGAATTCTCAACAAGGCATAACCTGGTACAACACTACTCTAAGATCTCAACTAACTCCTAATGAACTCTAGTCAACCTCCTCCAATTAACACTTCTCCTGAGTTATCTCCAAAGCACAACAAACTGCCAAACCAATTTCCTAAATCAATGTTTCTAAAAGTGGAGTTCAGGTATGACTGGTGATATGGAAGAGGATGTTAGATGGGATATAGTCATTTTTTTATTTTTAATAATTACATATTTTCCTTAAGAACCTTCTATTTTATTCAAGAACTAGAGGCTCAGTGCACGGATTCGTGTACTGGTGGGGTCCCTCAGCCTGGCCTGCACCCTCTTGCAATCCGGGACCCCTCGGGGGATGTCAGACTGCCGGTTTTGGCTGGATCCCCGCAGGCCAGGCCTGTGGGGATTGGGCCAAAACCGGCAGTCCGACATCCCCCAAGGGATGTAGTAGTGCGCAAATCGGCAGGCGGCGGGGGAGGAGCCCAAGCCCAGGCCTGCCGCTCCCGCTTATCCCGCTCCCCGCTGCGCCTACTGCCACTGCCTCTTGGTAGTGCTGCATAAAGGCAGGAGAAGCTCACGCTGCCACAGCTGCACTCACCATCCATGAGCCCGGCTTCTGGAACCCGTCAGTCAGCTGAGTGGTGCTCCCACAGTGGGAGCGCACTGACCACCAGGGGGCAGCTCCTGCGTTGAGCATCTGGCCCCTGGTGGTCAGTGCACATCATAGCGACCGGCCGGTCATCTGATCCCTTAGGGCAGTGGTTCTCAACCTTCCTAATGCCGTGACCCTTTAATACAGTTCCTCATGTTGTGGTGACCCCCAATTTCATTGTTACAAATTGAACATAATTAAAGCATAGTGACTAATCACAAAAACAATATGTAATTATATATGTTTTTCCCCATGATCTTAGGCGACCCCTGTGAAAGGGTCGTTTGACCCCCAAAGGGGTCACCAGCCACAGGTTGAGAATCACTGCCTTAGGGTTTTATGTATATAGATGCTCCAAGAGTATGGACCCTGGAACCATACTACCTAGATTCATATCTTAGCTCTGGCATTGACTAGTTTATTATCTAGGGCAAGTTATTTAACCTCTATATTTCCTAACCATAAAATGGATGGATACTACTACCAATAATGTTTACCACATACAGTTATTATGAGAATTAAGTATTATATAAAGAGTTTAGAATAAAACATGGCTCATAACAAGCTGTATATTAGTAGCTACTATTGCTATTCATGGCAAAAAGTACTGGTTTTCCATTTACATGATGATTTAAATGTTTCCTTTAAAAATTAGTTGATTTTGCCTTAACTGGTTTGGCTTAGTGGATAGAGCGTTGGCCTGCAGACTGAAAGGTCCCAGGTTCGATTCCGGTCAAGACCATATACCTTGGTTGCAAGTACATCCCCAGTAGGGGGTGTGCAGGAGGCAGCTGGTTGATGTTTCTCTCTCATTAATGTTTCTAACTCTATCCCTCTCCCTTTCTCTCTGTAAAAATCAATAAAATGTATTTTTTTAAAAATGAGTTGATTTTAAGAATAAAGTCAACACTAGTGTATGAGATACAAGGATATAGCAAAAAATGAAAGGGTAGTATATGAATTAAATAAAAAAACAAAAACTTGTGGCAGGGGGGGAAAGCCAGGAGCTTAGGAGAAGATGTTATTAAAAGCAAGGTATCAAATGAATGTTATAGAAGCCTTGAGAAAGTCATTTTCTTCTCCAGGCCTCAGTTTTCTAATGTGTGAATGAAAACACTGAGCGAGCCCATCTAGCTCTAAGATTCTGAAGTCTGCATATAAATCTGCATTTCCCCTGCTCTATTCAGAACACTGTTTGCTCAGCAGTTAATGACCACGGTGGCACAGCTCTTACAGACTAGTCCTTGGGTTGGAAGATTTTCTTTAAAGTTTGTGAAACACTGCTGGTGGGAATGCAAACTGGTGCAGCCATTATGGAAAACAGTATGGAGTTTCCTCAAAAAATTAAATATGAAACTGCCAAGTGATCCCACTTCTAGGAATATATCCTAAGAAACCCAAAACACCAATCAGAAAGAATGTGTGCACCCCTATGTTCATAGCAGCACAATTTACAGTAGCTAAGATCTGGAAACAGCCCAAGTGCCCATCAGCAGATGGGTGGATAAAAAAGCTGTGGTAGATTTATACCATGGAATACTATGCAACAGTAAAAAAAGAAAAAATCTCTTACCCTTTGGAGGGACCTGGAGAGTGTCATGCTAAGTGAAATAAGTCAGTCAGAGAAAGAGAAGTAGCACATGATCTCACTCATATGTGGAATCTAAGTAACAAACTAAACTGATGAATGGAGTGGATCCAAAGACATGGAAGCATGGAACAGAGTGGAATCTCAGAGGGAAGGCAGGGGAGGGTGGGAGGTAATCAACCAAAGACCTGTATGCATATATGCATAACTCATGAACACAGACAATAGGTGGTGAAGGCTGGGGGCAGGCTGGAGAGGGTCAATGAGGGAAAAAGAGGACATATCTAATACTTTCAACAATAAAGAATTATTTAAAAGTAAAATAAAGTTTGTGACAGAGTTTGACATTATAGTAAACTAGTGGCCTGGTGCACAAAATTTGTGCACGGGGGTGGGGGGCGAGGAAGGGTGTCCCTCAGCCCGGCCTGCACCCTCTCCAATCTGGGACCCCTCGGGGGATGTCCGACTGCCAATCCCTACGGGATCGGACCTAAACCCGCAGTCAGACACCCCTCTCACAATCTGGGACAGCTGGCTCCTAACCACTCACCTGCCTGCCTGCCTGATCGCTTAAACACTCTGCCTGCTGGCCTGATCA